ATGGCTACTGTCAAAAAACACAACCTAACAAGTGTTGGTGAGGATGTAGAGACACTGGAACCCTTGAGCACTGTTGGCGAGAATGTGAAATGGCACAGGCGCTGTGGAAAACAGCAGGGTGGTTCCTCCAAAATTATCAGCAGAATCACCATATGACCCAGCAGTCCCACTTGTGGGTACATACCCAAAAGAATGGACACAGCAGCATTATTCACAACAGCCAAGAGACATCTTTGGGAGAGCTTTGCCCAGGCTATGTTCCCACAGGAGCCCAACTGAGCCCACATCTTCTTTCTTTCTTCCACTACTAAGGCCCTACTATGTGCATGTCCCATGTACCCACAAAGACACTTGAGAGAGAAGTGCCTGGCCTGTTGGGCATAGAGAACTCCTCACTGTGTCCTGTATCTTGCTGGCATCTGGGCCTTCCCTGACAGTCTCTGCAGTCCCTGGTTTTCTGCTGCCATTAAAGCATCCAACTTTCAAGACCTGCCTCTTGTGAGCTCAGAGCCACTTCTCCCAGGCCTGGTGGCTGGCAGGATTGGGACTGGGAGCAGGTCCAGAGCTGGAACATCCACAGAGGGGGGTGCAGGGTGCAAAAGCAATGCAGAGCAATTCACACGCTCCCTCGCCACCACCCCACATGGAGCCATATGCCCAAGAGACTTTCTAGTGCCTGTTGTTTTTTTAGGGCATTGGTAAATTTTTAGCTGCCTCAAATAGACAAGTGTGCTGTGGGGAATGTGATGAACAATGGAGAGCCACAAAATAAAATCACTATGCAAACCAAGTTTAATGGAAGGTTCTTAGCTTGTTCTCGGAGGGAACTCCCATGGGAGGCTGTGTCCTGCAGACAGAGTGGGAGGCTGAGGCCCATCTTTAGCTGTGGTTACAGTTAAATCGAAGGCTTCAGCACCGCTGAGCTTTCCAAGACCCAGCAGGAGCCTTCCAAGGGCCTCTGGGCACCATGCATGCAGGACAGGCAGGCAACGGGTGACCTGGGGCCGACGCCTCAATGCTGTGCATATCCGAAACACTGGGCAGGAAAGATATGAAAGGAGGCCAAGTGGCCACTCCTCATGGCTCATGAGTGCTCACAACCCAGCATATGGCCTGCCTGAGGGAACATAAACTAGCAGATGGGCAGAGAGGGCCTCCCAAGGTATTTAGAGAGAACAGAGACTGGGCTCTAGAAGACAAGTGGCCTCAAGAGACGGCCAGGTGCAGTGGCTCACTCCGGTAATCCCAGCACTTTGGGAGGACAAAGCAGGCAGTTCACAAGGTCAGGAGTTCGAGACCAGCCTGGCCAATATGGTGAAACTCCATCTGCACTAAAAATACAAAAATTAGCCAGGCGTGGTGGCGTGTGCCTATAGTCTCAGCTACTCAGGAGGCTGAGGCAGAAGAATCACTTGAACCCAGGAGACAGAAGTTGCAGTGAGCAGAGATCATACCGCTGTACTCCAGCGTGGGCGACAGAGTGAAACTGTCTCAAAAAAAAAAAAAAAAGAGATAAGCAGCTGAGGTTCCTAGAGCAAGGTGTGCTCAGAATCATGCTTCTCTGCCTTCCGCCTCCACCCCTTCGATGGCCTTGGAGAGAAAGCAGTGCATTCCGTCTGAATATGTGGATGGCTGAGGGCACAGGCAGATGCTGAGCAACCTCTCCTCCTCACCTCCTCCTACACTGTCCTTGGCCATAGAACTCTTTAGAATCAGTTCAAGGCTTCTCAGCTTAGGAAGGGATTTATCGCATTCTGAGAAACCCTTTTTGGGGTGGAATGATTATCATGTCAGTATTCTGATGTTCTGATCAGGGACTCTGAATGTATAGACAAACATAATAAATATCTGTGTAGCAACTTCTTTGTTCCCTGGGTTTGGGTGCCAAGAGCACTTGGCTGGGAGTAGCTCTGTGTCCTTGGGCAAGTGACTTGTCCTCTCTGGGCCCACGCTTCTGCAACTACAAATACTGGTAGTAAGACTGACTTCCTGGGGCCCCGATGAGAACAGAAGGGCTCTAGTGTCTGGTACAGAAGAAAGATGCCATCATTGTGCATTGAGTGATGTTGAGACAATAAAAGTCTTCTTACACCTTTTTTCCCAAAGGCTTCACACATGCAGGGAGAATGTGGCTCTGTGGGTTGGCAGCTGTGGGGCGAGGCAAGTGAAGAGAGCCTGTTAGCAGTCCTGGGTGAATTGTGAGAACACTTGTCACAGCAAATAGCAAGCATTCTGCTTTTGACATTCCAGCAACAGAGCCAACCTGCTTCCCTACAGACAGAATTCCAGATCTTCCCTGGGGCCTGCACACCCTTGACTCTCAGGCCCCTGCACCCTTGATTCCCGGCCAGCAACCCATCCCCGCTAGTCCTGGTCACTCAGCTTGTTAGGCAAACATTTCTTTCTGTTTGAGGCTTTTATAGCTGCAGGGTTCCATGGGAAATGTCTTAGCTAAAGATGTGCCTCAAGACACCCTGATGTTAGATGCCTTTCCCAACACATTTTCCCTTCGGCACTGCTATTTTTAAAGCTCAGCAGAACATTCAGAGGGAGACGCAAAGCTGCAGCAGGCGAGGGAGGGAAAGGCTTGCTCTTGATTTTTCCGACTGCAGTCCAGCCTTCGGGCTGACCGGCCACCTCCTTTCCTCATGTCTTCTCAGCAGGAACATTTACTAGTGTTTCTAAATAACTCAACCGGCCAGCTAGAAACCCAACACAGGAGGGTGTGGACAGGGGGCTGTGGGTGGGGCAGGACACCAGGTGCTTCCATCCTTGAGTAAGGCTGAGGAATTTCTCATTATTGCAAAAGGAGAGAAAAGATCTGCAATTGGATGCTTTTAAACAGGAAGGTTTAGAATCTCTTTTTAGTGCCTCCTTTTTTCTTCCTCTTTGCCCGTGCATTTTCAGGTGTTCAGATAAACAACTTGGAATTGTACCTGGGTGCTTTGTCTCAAAGGGAGGCCCCTCCCTCCCGCACCCCATCTTTCTCAAACTCACTGTTGTCCTGGCACCACTGCTACAAAGATCACTGGTTTTACCTGAGACCATACCTTCAAGCTACAGCCATGATGAGGGATGCAGGCAGGTGAAGGAGCCCCTGCACCACACCGAGGTTTCCTGACAAAGTGGGTCCCGTACACAGAGCAGCGGCCATAGCCATAGGCTGCGTGAACAGCAATTGTAAAACGGGGAACAGAGCTTAATGATCATAAATCCTAGGTAGAAGGAGGCACCAAAGCATGGACTTTTGAATCAAATGAGCTAAAATCCAGCTACTCGGGAGGCTGAGGCAGGAGAATTGCTTGAACCCAGGAGGCGGAGGTTGCAGTGAGCCGAGGTCGCACCACTGCACTCCAGCCTGGCACCTGGCAACAGAGCAAGACTCTGTCTCAAAAAAAAAAAAAAAAAAGGGCTAAAATCCCATCTCTGCCCCTGACTAGCTGTGCAATCTTGAACACATTACGTAACCTCTCCAAGCCTCAGTTTCTTCATCTGTGAAATGGGGTTAATGTCAATCTCATTCGTGTCAAGATTAAATCAAACCATGTATATTTGATTGACTGCGGTCTTTCTGGGTCCTAAAGTTGTGCTCTTTCACTGTATGAATCTGCTTTTTGGAACTAAAATTTTTTCCTTTACTCAAATATTCTTTCAGAGAAAGACCAGGGGCCACACCCTGGCCCCTGATGGTTCCAACCTGGCCCCAAGATGTGGGTTAGGGAGGTACTGTGGGCTTTAAAAACCAAGTTATATTAGAATTCTTAATTCATGTGGATGGCTTGAACAGATCAGATGCCCTCTGGCCCTGCACAGGCCTCATGGCTCTCTAGAGTCTCTCACCAGTCTGATTTTTAAGCAGCTGGCCCTCAGAGGCCTGGGGGCTTTCAACCCCTGATCTAGAAAGTCTCTTTCCTACACACCACGGGACATTCCCCTTGAGTTGCCCACTGTAAGTGACTCAGAAGGCCAGGAGGCCACATTTTTTAATGAAGCTAGAGTCCAACAGCCCAAGGAAGCCTGGGAGCTTCACCAGAATCCAGAGCACTGCACTGCACTTCCCAGGCCTCTTGAGGGAGCCAGTGAGTCAATGATTTCAAATTCCTAAGGAAAGAGGGCAACTGAGGCAGAAAAGTGGCAAACTTATTTGCTTAATAATGAAGATAATTCTAGTGTTTCTGGATGCTTCCACTAGCTGCAAGTCCACAGGGCCCTTCCCATGCCTAGACAGAGCACACTTGGAGACCACACCTACCCCAGTTCCCAGGCTGGCCTCACCACTGGCTGACCCCAGGCAAGTCCTGCCACCTTATGGGACTCAGTTTGCTCATCTGCAATATGGGTCTGTCCTACCTCTGATACCGCTATTCCGAGTTACCCCCAGGGATCGCCCTTCTCTACTCTCAGTGGGTAGGGCTGATACTACCCACCTTTTCTGTACAAATAATCCAGGCCTGGACAATCAGTCAGTAAGAATCAGCCCTGAGACTTTTGCTAGAAAGAGGTGCTGTTTTTCCACTGAGGTTGCTCAGGTAAACCTGCTGGCGGCCTTCATGGCCTTCATTGGGGGAAAGCCTGTCTGGGAATGAAGTTAAACCAGGGGAATGAGAGCTGGGGAGAGACAGATGGAGAATAAGACTTTTGACGTCCTGGATCCAGCCATCTCTGAAGCCTTCAGTTCCATTCACCAAACAATCCCTGCTTTTGCTTAAATCACCTTGACTTGGGTTTCTGTCTCTTGAAACCAAGAGACTTGACTGGTACATACTCAACTTCCACTGTTGGCTCCATTCACATTTAGAACACATCTCTAGCATCACAGCCACCACACCCTTTCCACCCAAACCTGAAGCCAACCACGTCTCATGCCCATTGTGTCCTTGTCACTTTGCACGGGACCTTGGCGAAAGGGAAGCAGAGAATGCCAAGGCTGGAGCGGAAACTCTGATTCCCTATAAGAGCAGCCACCCAAGCTCCCCCTGGGTTTTCGGAAAGCCTCTCACCTCTGTCTTATTCCGAGAGAGCACGCTGGAGTCGATGGGCCCAAGGGACAAGTTTGGCAGCACAAGGTTGAGCACTTTCGCAGCAAGGACCTAGCCGGGGAGAGAGAACAAGAGCTGTGAGTACAAGCACCACCACACCGAGCTCTTCCGCAGTGACGGTTTACAGTACATTGAGAGTGATGCCCAAACTGAACAACAGCCAGGTTCGTCTCGCAAGCCTGCGTCCTCAAGCCTGCATGCCCAAGGACTCTCCCTTCTGACTCAGCCGCTAGCCAGCCTGCCTCTGCTCCACCCGGGGGAGCCGGGCAGGCGGCCGCCACGCTCAAGGCAGTAAGTCAAGTCTGGATTTTGCCTGCTCTGCACCCTCCCGTTGATCACTCATGAGTTGTAATTTTGCATCACGGACAAGGGCTGCCCAGGCTGACCTCTGGTACCCAGGCCATTTCTCTTGGGTATTGAAAACACACAGCAGGAGTAAAATCACCCAGATCAGCTGAGCGGGAAGCAGGATGGGGCAGAAGGGCCTGCAGGATCATACAGAGGATCCGTGCGTCCATTTCTCTTGGTGGGGGGCGGGGGTAGAAATAGCACCAGGAGGAGGTGTGTGGCAGAGGGAAGGAGAGCTGGGTTTGATTCCTGGCTTTGCTGCCTCATGAACATGCGATCTACACGTCGCTAAGCCTCCATTTCCTCAGCTGCCAGTGGAAGCTTGACCCTCCCCCAGAGGACCACAGGGAAGGTAAATGACACCCTGTGTGCAAAAGCCCAGGGAACACAGCAGGAGCTTAATACATGCTCACTGAACTTGAGCCTGATTTGGACCCAAACCTTCCCATCCCCTCCCCCATCTCTCCTTCTGGATCTCTTGTTTTTCCAGGAAAACAGAGAACCCGGATCTCACACTTTTGCCTTCAGAGAGGGGCTGTTTTAATTTCTGCAATGTGCACAGACATTTGGGGATGAAAGATGCTATTTCAAAAGTGAGCTGTGAAATGCTGAAATTAAAATCAGATGGAAGGTGGCAAGCAGTGAATTCTCAGTGCACATCAAGGGCACAGGGCACGTAGCTCAGTACCCTTGGCGGAGGGCAAGGGCACTCACGGGCATCAAGGAACCACCTTCTGGTGTGTTGGGCACAGCTTCCTGATTCTTTTATTTTTGAGTCAGGGTCTCACTCTGTCATCCAAGCTGGAGTGCAGTGGTACATTCTTAGCTCACTGCAACCTCCACCTCCCGGGTTCAAGCCATTCTCCTGCCTCAGCCTCCTGAGTAGCTGAGATAACAGGTGCGCATCACAACACCCGGCTAATTTTTGTATTTTTAGTAGAGATGGGGTTTCACCATGTTGATCTTGTGATCCACCCACGTCAGCCTCCCAAAGTGCTGGGATTACAGGTGTCAGCCACCGCGCCCAGCCAGTCTCCCAATCTTTACAAAATCCCTGGAAGGCAAGGATTCATTTTCACTGAACAGGTGAGAAGATGGAGGCTCAGTACCACAAGGTCCATGGGAGAGTCCCCGGGCTGGGAGGCCACTTTATCTCTTCATGCCACATGGCCTGGATTACTCTGTCTCTGCTGCTATCTGTCTCTCTCCAGGAGTGTGACCCAGAGTTCTAACCTTCCAGTGGGTCTTGGCACAACGGCTGCTGATGTCCTTTTGGGGGACACAATTGCTGTACTTGCCTACCCTCCCTGTAGGCCCAGGGCTAAACCCTCCTGTGTCCTAGGCCTGCACAAGTGCAATGTGACTGCCCATCACAATTGTTTCTCAACCATCCAGGATCAGTCAGACAGCAAAAAACAGGCTTTTCTCTTAAAGGGCTTTGCCCCATGTGCATGAACCTCCATGTGCACTGTCCCCCAGCCTTGGCATCCAGGAAAGCAGATCTAATTCTGTGGCCACCACTGTGCCAGGTACTTTGCTGAGTCCTGGGCTCTGACTTTGACCGTCTAGTGTAGAAGCGTGCAGCTGCCTGACTTGGAGCACTGTGATGGGGCATGGTGTGTCCGCATAATCAGAACCCTCGAAACATGGCTGTGATATGTCTGGAACGTTCAAGAGTCCAGCTGGTATCATGGGCCAGCTCCACAAATGAGCATGGGAAAGGAAATCTTGGCATTCTGGGAATTCTGCACAAGGAATAGGGTATTTTCAAACACAGATCAAATGTCTGTGAACTCCAAGAATTGGGAGCTCCTCTGCATTGGGATCTGTGCTTTCAAAGGTTAAAATAATCTAAAAATGAGAAATGGAGTGCATCAGTGCATAAAGGCAGCAGGCAGCGGCTCTGTGGCCTTCACTAGGCTCCAGCTGTGTAAGGATGATGTTTCAGGGCCTTAGCTCTCACCTCCAGCAGTAGTGGTCAAGGGCCACACTATGAGGGAAGACTCCTGTGTTCCACAGTTATGAAGAACTCACTTCTAGATATTCTGCTATTCTCAGTACCCCTGTCTCTGCTCCCTGATGCAACAAGGGCTGCCAGCTGTGGGGGGGATCCTGGCCACACTCAGGAACCATGCAAGGTTCTGTGTGACAGGATGGTATGGAAATGCCAGCCTGCTCCCAGGTTGGCCTACCTGCTTGCTGGGGCCCACACAGCCTTCTCAGGGACATGGCTGTCTTTTGCAAGCCAGTTTCCTACCCATTCCCTGACCAGATGGCTCAGATCCAAGAAAAGGCCCGGGGACCTACACCTTAGCAGCGCCTGCCACAGAGGTGAAAGCAAGAGACCACACAGCATCCACTCCATTTCATCCAAGCCCACCACCAGATTTCTCATCGTGCCACCATTTGTGTTTTGGGGACCCATCACCTGATTCTGCAGGGTCCTGGGCCCCGAGGTGCCAGTCAATCTTCAGGATTAGTCATTTGTGAAGACAGACTTACCTTCATCCTCGAACATCTGTTTCTGCTGCTGGCACCTCTTAAACCAAAACTTTTATACCAAAAAGTGCCAGGGCCTCTGCTTCCAGGCTCTGGAGAAGATGCTGACAGCTTAGGCTGTTGGTGCCACAAGGATCGGTGCAGCTTAAGCCATCCTTGCAGTGGTTTCGTAGCGGGTGGGGAACAGGGAACAGACAGCCAGAGAGAGCCTGCCTCCGGGAGAGAATCACAGCAAGCCCTATTCTGTCCCCTCACACAGCAAGCCCGATTTTCTTTCTCCATGAATAGGGGAACTTTTTGCAGCTAAAGGATGCTTTTAAGAAAAGAGCTTCATAGGAAAAAAGAAAGAGGAGAGTCACTTCCTGAGAAATATTAGGTTTAGAAAATGAACAATGCAAGGGCTAGTCCCTGGAGGGAAGGAAGTGATTCCTGACAGCTGACTGACTGCCTCACCATCCCCTTCGATGTACAAAAAGCCAAGGCCTGGGAGGCCTCCCCGTCTGCAGCTGTGAATGATCTATTGCTGAAAGTGCAAACAGGAGATGTGGCAAGAACACATCCTGCTTAGGAATGGAGACAGAAGGTGACTTCCGTTGCACGCATCCAGCTGAGTGCTGGCCACCCAGGACTGATGGGGGGAGCAGCCACCCTCGCTCCCCTAAAGGAGCTGCTGCTAGCTGGTTCAGGATGAGGGAATGTGCCTAAAAGGACAAGCTTGTAACAGTAAAAGTCCCATGGCTGTTGGTGTAGATGAGGCACCAGTGTCTTAGCGACAATAATTGGTCATTCTATCATGAATGTGGATGGAGGATCACGCCCTCCAGGAACGCCTGGTGTGGATTCTGCAGTTTTTTCCCGGTGAACGCACACACAGCCATGTCCTGGTGCTAAAGCCCAAGGAATGCCACCCCAAGAATAGAAAGTTCTCAGTGCATAGATGGCTGCTGAAGCCCTGGGTGCAAGTTACACCAGAAAGAGTATACAAAGAGGCAGGAGGGGACCTGCATGGATACACCATTCACAGGACAGGTGTAGAAACAGAAACCCATGAAGGAGACTTCTAGAGTCCTGGGATTCCCTTAAAACAATCTCTAACTCCCTGTCTTCCCAGGAAGATGGAACCGTGTGTACTGTTCTGTTTCTTCAATCCAGTTGGCGTACGGTAGCAGGCATGGCACGCCCAATCCTGACACCCCAGCGCCTCCCTGTTCAGTGTGGTCCTCACACCAGCAGCACCAGTGGCTCCAGGACCAGTGGTACTGGCCTCTGGGTCAGGATCTGTAGCTTTGCAAGACTCCTGGGCATTTGCATGCGTGTTGAAGTCTCAGGGGCTGGCAATGTCTGTGCCCATGAAACACCACAAACACCTCCTCCTGGTGCTGCCCTTAGAGATCTTGATAGCAGTGGCTGAAGTGGGGCCCTGGCATCAGTGTCATTTTCAGGCTCCCTAGCGATCCTGTGTGCAGTCAGGGCAGAAGTGCTTTAACAGGCAGTGGCTAGGATGGGGGCGCACACGTCCCCACAGGGCAAGCTGCCCTTTTAAAGGAACCGCCATAAGAGATGTTTGCACAGCCCTGATCCTCAGCTCTTTCTTTTTCTAAACCTGCATAGTAAGTTCCAAGCCACATTTCTAACAAGACTCAATTATGTAGAGGCAAAGTTTTAATGATAATAACTTCATGGCTTAAAAAAATTAGGCTTTTAGCCTCTTCCCCACAAAGGCCCCAAGAAAGAGGAGAGCTGCCATGCAGGGGCAGGATGCTTTGAACAACTGCAAAAGAGATTCCTTTTCTCTGCTACTCTTTTAAAATTTGTTGATTTCATGAGCCTAATCTCTCCTGAAGGAGGAAAGGGTAGGATGGGAGGAGAAAGAGCTAAGCAGAGGAAGTGGGTTGATTGTGTATGAGGGAAGGCAGAACGGTTGAGCAGGGGGCATTGAGGCCGCATGACCAGGAAGCAGCGAGGAAGGAAGGAAGGAGTCGTGGCAGGTCCCACACCCAGATGGATCACATTGTTGAGGTCGACCAGATGGTTGCTGCTCCGGCTCTCCTACAGCCTCCACCCTGAGCTGTGAGCACACCAGGGAAGCCTCGGAGGGAGTTGCTCACCCAAAAAGGAATTGGAATCCAAAAGCTTAACGTTCTTGACACCTTTTCCATCAAGTCTTTCAAAATCCTCGGATAATCCTGCAGGAGCATTGAGAA